AAGCACAGACAGACCCCTTTCCTTAAGCTGCCTGTTGGAATACGGTGGTACAGATAAGTATAAGAACCTTCCAAGAGGCAGTTTTATTTCTGGTGGCTGATTTTTCACTGACTTGATTATATTATAATGAGTAAATGTTAGAAAGCAGCCTTTCTAACATTTAATTTGGAGGCCCTGAATGAAAAATTACTGGACTGAAAAACTGGTTTGACTCATTAGTCACTGAGGTTATTGACTAAATGAATACATTTACTAGATGTTTTACTGAAACCCAAGACAATCCTGCTTCTTAAGTTTAGCTGTTAATTTCAACCACCTTCCAAATTTCAAACCTGGTCTTCTTCCCCAGTTTTGTATTTTTAAACCTGGCAATTAATTACTAGATGATGTTCTTCTTTTTCATGTAGGGATTCTGATGAATAGGAAAAAAAGAAGAAGAAAAAGTCAAGATACCGTTTCATAACCTTAACAAACTACCTTTAATAGTTGGAAACAATCTAGAAACTTGCTGATCTGATTCAAATAACTCCCACCTATCTGTTGGTCTCTCCTCACTCTTAGCTTCTATTGGCTGCCTCAGAGTTGAACTTGGTTTGACTTTCAGCTCTGCTGCTTTCTGTATGATTATATCACATAGAATGCTCTCAGCTTCAAGTACTAAAAAAATCCAACAAAAACGGGCCACATCAAACTATTAACTCACTTAACACAGGAAGTCCAGGGGAGAGCAGTTTCAGGGTTGGATAATTCATCTGTTCAATAATATCTTCTTTTTTTTTTTTTTTTTTCCAGACAGTCTTGCTCTGTCCCCCAGGCTGGAGTGCAGTGGCACGATCTCAGCTCACTGCAACCTCTGCCTCCCGGGTTCAAGCGATTCTCCTGCCTCAGTCTCCTGGGTAGCTGGGATTACAGGCCCCCGCCACCACACACGGCTAATTTTTGTATCTTTTTAGTAGAGATGGGGTTTCACCATGTTGGCTAGGCTGGTCTTGAATTCCTGACCTCAGGTGATCTGCCCACCTCGGCCTTGGAAAGTGCTGGGATTACAGGCGTGAGGCACTGAGCGAGCTCAGTCCAATAATATCTTAAGTAGCTGGGCTTTGCCCTTCTTTTTCCCCTGCCGACTTTAGTGTGCTGGCTTTTGTTCTCCAGATGGTGACCGCAGTTCTAGGCATCACCTGGGGGTGCAGCACAGCCTGTTTCATCAACACTGTATGTTTGTGTTTCAAAGAAAGGAATTTTGCTTTCCCAGAACCCTGCAGAACCCTCTCCCTCCATGCTAATGAGAATGGAAATTGTCGTGAGTAGTTTAGATTGGGCCATCTCAGTCCTGGCTGCACTTTTGAATCACTGTGGAGCTTTATAAAACTACTGAGGCCTAGACTCACTCCGAATAAGCTGATTTAACTAGACTGGGATGGTTCTAATGGGCAGCCAGCGCTGAGACCACTGGCGTAGTTTAATCTCGATTCCCTCACCTTGGCGGCGAGCGGCTCAGCCTTCCCTGAGCACGGCCCACCTGGTGCCTTTAAAAATTAGGGCTCTAATACTGGCAGGAGGTCCAGAAGGATGGTAATCCAGCAGTCAGACAAGCACGTTTCTATAACCAGTCAACTGTACTTTGAGTCTTTACATTTTTGCCTGGAAAATAGGAATTATAATATGTGACTTGCAAGGTATGCCTGCGGGGGTTGCAGCTCAGAAAACTCTGGAATGGGTCAGGGAGAATTCAATCTTAGCTGTTTCTCAGATCTTCAAAGTTCATAGAGATACCATTTTGTCTTTCCCCCACCCTTTTTTTTTTTTTCACTTCCGGGGCTTCCCTCTTCCTGACTCAAGACACGGCCTTGGGGTTGGGTGGTGGCAGGGAGAAGGCTCCAGGTGACTTCTCACTGTGCTTCTAAAGCAGCATTATTCACAGTAGTTACGATATGAAAACAATGTAAGTGTCTATTGACAGATGACTGGATAAAGAAAATGTGGCGTGTGGGTGTGTGTGTGTGTGTGTGTGTGTGTGTGTGTGAAACACACAATGGAATATTATTTAGCCTTAAAAAGGAAGAAATCCTGCCATTTGTGATAACATGGATTAACCTGGAGGATATTACATTAAGTAAAATGTACCAGACATGGAACAACAAATATCATATGATCTCTCTTATATGAGGAATCCAAAAATAATCAAAACAGAGAGTAGGTTGGCAGTCACCAAAGGGACCAGGGGGAGATGTAGGTCAAAGGGTACAAAGTTGCAGTTACGTAGGATGAATAAGTGTTGAAATCTAATGCACGGCACAAGGACTATATAACATTTTATTATATACAGATGCTTCTCTGACATAACCTTTTCGAAGCATGCTGAATGTGTATCACTGTCACATTGTCATAATGCTGAAACATCTTAAGTCAAACCATCATTAAGTCAAGGACCATCTGTACTGGAAATTTGCTTAGAGAGTAGATTTTAGGTGTTCTTACCACACACCCTAAAAAAGGTAACTCTGTGAGATGATGATATGTTAATTGGCTTGACTGTAGTAATTATTTCACTATGTGTATCAAAATATCATGTTGTACACTTTAAATATATACAATAAAGCAAACATACCCTGACATGGCCAAATAACTAAGTAAATATATGTTTTATCCCCTTCATCTCCAACTGGCTTTATATCTCACTATCCAGCAAGCGGAGGAAAACCAGACAGCTTTTCTGGCCCTCTTGTCCTGGACTCCCTAATAGTTACTCTTGGGGCCGGAACCCAGTGTCTTGGTTGTCAGAGGTTTTCATGGAAGCTCTCTGAAAATAAGATTTCTCCAAAGGGTTTCTATCACAGGCTTGCAGGGCCCTAGTTATTTTACACATCAGTGCTCTTTTTCCCTAGGTGGGGAGGAAATGACATAACACAGTCATGTACATCGGAGACTCGAGCCTGGCTGCCTGGTCCTGCCCTCTCCATCAGAGCCCTTGACCCCTTGGGATTTTCCCCCAGAGTCCAGTTTTTTGTCTTTCTCCCTCCAATTTGACCTCCTCTGGGGATTCCCAGCCCATCAAACATGTATGTCTGAATATGTGTTTCCACACTCCATTTGCTGCCCACCATGTGCCAGATACCACCTGAACCTTGAGAACACAGCAGTGAACAAGATTGGCAAGGGCCCTGCTCCCATGGAGCTCACACTTGTGTAGGGTGATACCAGACAGTAAACAATAAGCAAACCAGACCTAACATCAGGTCAGACAATGATAAGAAAATAAGAGGGGAAGGTGGGATAGTGAACCCTTGGGGTGGGTAGGCTACTTCAGAGGGGGCCTCAGGCATCATCACCTCTAAGGGGAGACATTTGAACTGAGGCCTGAACAGTGAGAGGGGCCTGGCCACAAAGAAGTTGGAGGAGGAATGTTTCAGACAGAGGCAACAGTGGGTAAGGCCTCCAAGGTAGAAACAAACTTGGGGTGTTGGAAGAACAACGAGAAGGTTGATGGGCTGGAGTAGAGTAGGGTCCAAATTCATTTTAAGAGCACACATGGAACTTAGGCCAATTCCAGGACGTGACTGGACACTTATGTTAAGGCTTCCTAAAAGATAGTGTAACAGTTGGAAAGTTACCAGATGTTCTATGCTGGAAGCCTTGTCTTCCCGGAACACATGAGACTCTCCCAGTGACGGCATTACCTGCTTGCCTGAAACCATCTCACCTTCAACTTTAAGGACAGAGACATCCAGTTTAATGTCACCCTGGTCTGATTCATTGTGATTCCATTATTTAAAAACTATGAATCTTTATTTCCATTACAGCCGTAGAAGTTTTTCCCTACATTCCAAGAGTTGTCTTCCACTCTAAATCAAGAAGAGCTAACAGAGCTACGTGTTCTCTGCATTCCTGGGCAGTGCATGATACTACAAACACTCTCAACCATTGAGCTCTCTCCTCAGTTGAGGATGTTCTACATTGTGGGACTTTGTTTTTACTACTGATTTTGTGTGCTCAAAATTATCAGCCTAGGTCCCCAGTAAAGAGATTGGGTCTATGACCTGGGCTAGTCTCCATGAAAAGGAAGAGGGAATTCACTGCTATTTCCCAAAAGTTGGGTGGTTGAGATGATGTAGGCAGTTTTGAGGTGGAGCAGAATTGCGGGGGAGTGGTGTAGGCAGTCAAGGATTCTTCTACTCTGGGTTGGGAATCTGCAATTTAATGTAATAGCTTGCCAGATGTTTGAACTATTAAATTGTTTCTGGGGTTCAGACTGTAGAACCCACTGAGGCAGAAATGTGGGAACTTGGTAGGAAAACATAAAGATGACTGTGTGTTGGATACTTCAAGAAGGTACAAGGTCCTTTCCAGGGAACTTTTGCTAAAAGCGGATCAGGAACAAGAGGCGAATTACATAACTTTGGTTCAGAAGCCACATCTACCTGTAATCAGCCATTGGAGGCTGAGGAAGGTCAAATTATCTCGTGTCTTCCTTATCATCATCATCACTATTAGCAGCAGCAGTAGCAATAGCAGCAGCAGCAGAGTTCTCTGTCACACTCTATTACTAAAGCTAAAGATTGCATGTGATTATAGATATTTATTATTCTGGTAATTGTCATGGTGATCTTTGCAGAAAGACCTGAGAGGAAAACTCCCTCCTAGTCATATCTGGAGGCCAATGTCCTTAAACAGAAAACTGGGGTCATACCCTGTAAAACCTACCAGACCAAGTAATCCAGAGCTGGGATGGGGGCAGGATCTCTTTAGAGTAAGACTGGTCTTCCAAGCCACCTAACTGTCATCTGGAGCTTGTCACTGCTAACAAGTTTCTTCCTTGCTGCCAGCTTGTTCCGTATCACTCAGGGCTATCATCAGTAACTTAGCCCTAAGAGAGGTACAGGAAAGATTTAAAAAAGGAATGCTATGTTGGTGGGGGAATCGTTCTCTAAAAGTCTGCCTTGCCAGGAAATTTTAAGCGGTAGGAGCAGAAGTGACAACCACAGCTGGCACTTTGGGTTTCGTGGTGTGAAGCAAAGGCTTTTTAACGGAGAGAGGACTGGTGCCCATTCCTAGTGGCAGCTTCTGCCACTGGAAGCCTGGTTGGCCAGAATGTGATGCTGTGATGGGGACTGTGTCTGGATCCCAGCTGTCACAACCTGGCTTCCAGATCTGAATTCTAGAGCAGAGGGAGGGAAGGCAGAACACCCCACCAGCACACTCATGTTTGGAGTCTGGCCCAGAGCAAAGAGCCTGAGTTGCTGTTGGCCAAACGTTGGTCTGTGCTTGTCAGACTGGGCTGAAGACTTCCTCCCTGGGCTATCCTTCACCTCTTATGCCATGGTTTTGGGAAGCACTGTGCTCAGCGGGCTGAACTGCTTCCTGGGTGTGCGACTAGGGTGCCAGCCAGGTCAGGAATGTCCAGGACTGGAAGAAACGCAGGGGCAGAACAACAGCACAGGCCGATGAGGAGGCTGCCCCACTGGGAGCTCTGCTGAAGGCTGCAGCCTGTCTGCTGAGAGTCAACCACTGTGCTGATTCACCATCTTGTGGTTGAGAACCCATCAGCAAATTGGCAGCTCTGCTGAACCCTGGAGCTGCAAAATATAGGCCAGGGAACCTCAGCCGGAAGGGATTTCAGTTAGTGACAGGTTTTCTATTCTTATATGGAACTACAAGGGGCCCAAGAGGACCTGGGCATTTCCCTCTCTAGTCCCCGGAAGAACCATGAAACCAGGCCAGGAAGCAAGGCTAAGAGCAGGAGCAGTGTCTGTCTCCAGGGGTTTGTTTGGACTGCTGTTTGTTTTTTTCTGCTATAGCTGAACCTGGATCTAGCAGGGTCACCATCTGAGTCCCCTGGTGAACTTAGCTCCTGCCTCCCAGAGATCTGGAATGACCTTATTAGACACCTCCAGCAATTTCAGACTGGGGCTTCAGCCTGTATGAGTCAGGGGCAAGGACTGGGGAGGCAAGAGAGTTAAGGGAGTGAGAGGTGAGAGTTACAATCCACACTGTATTTTATGTCAACAGCATCCCCTGGAGTACTGCAAAGCTCTAAGTCAGATGTCCCAGTGGGGGGTACCACCCATCCTAGACTTTCTCCTCTGCCTGATGATCCTTCTAGCAACATCAAATCAGCACATAGCACTGTACTTGGCCATTAAGGTAGTAAATAAATGCCTGGTGAGTGTATAATAGTTTGGTAGATAGAAAGATGCCCCCCCGCAAAGATGTTCACATTCTCATTCCCAGAACCTGTGAATATGCTATCTTAATAGCAAACAGGATTTTGCAAGTGTGTTTAACATTAAGGATCTTGAGATAAAGAGATTATCCTGGATTATCCAAATGGGCCCAATCTAATCCTAAAAAGCAGACAGCCTTCCCTGGGTGCAGTCAGAGACAGAAATGCATCTAGGGGAAATGGGGTCAAAGAGAGGGCCATGAGAGAAGGATTCCATGCCCTGTGGCTGGTTCTGAGAGGTAGGGACTCTACATAAGGACAGAGCAAATGTCTTCTAGGAGTTCAGGGTGACCCCAGTTAGCAACCAGAAAGGACCTCAGTCTTACAATCCCACGGAACTGTCAAGACCAGAATGAGCCAAGATAAAGACTCACCCCGAGAGCTGCCTCTAAGGAATGCTGTCCTGCCGAGACATTGATTTCAGTCCTACGAGACCCACAGGACTTCTGGCCCATAGAACTAAATGATAGTAAGTGTGTGTTTTAAGCTGTTAAAGTTTTGGTAATTTATTAAAGTAGCAACTGATAATTAATACAAATGGCTGTAAAATGGAATGTATTTTGTAATCGAACATAATTTTCTTGGCTCTGGTGTCCCTAGTTTCCTTGGTGGTTGCCATTGGTAGAGAAGTCCTTCTCCATGGTTAGCTGTGTGCTAGTGATGGGGAGGGCGTCCTTTCTCTGGTCCCAAGTGCTTCTTGGCACGCTGGGTTTACTTTTCTGCTGACGTCCCCTGGTATAGGTGTTGCTAGAGCCTGGCGTTTTTAGGAAGCACATAGAACTCTCTGCTGCTTCAAAGTCAGTCAGTGGCTCCATCCCAGGCAGGTGCTCCAGACCCATCCCATTTATTAATCATCTATTCTGTACAAGAAACTTGATGAATTTTATTTCCTTTAATTCTAACAACTATATGAATTAGGTAATGTTATCCCCATTTTACAGGGAGGAAAGCTGAGGCTCAGAGCAAGTGAACATCTCACCCAGGGTCACTAACAAGAGCTCAGGGATTGGAACCCAGGAGAAGATGCTTCCCTTCTCTTCTCCAAGAGTCCTTTTAGGGCTGGCAAGTTGATGCAAGCTGCAGCTCATGCCTTCAGACCATGCTGGGTCCAAGGAAATGCATGGATCTCCTCCATTACAAAGTTTGACTCCAAGAGAAGCCCAGATGTGGCTTCCAGCCCGTCCTACCTGACTGTGCCCCGCCCTTCACCACTTCCTGTCTTCCTGAGACCCAGTGGTAGAGGTGTCTGTGGGGGCTGCTACCTGGGAAAGTCCGCCAGGGGGAGTGCATGGCAATCTCTCCTCTCAGATCCTCTGGGGGTTCCTTTCCCCACCCAAACTAGGCCTGGAGGTTGATGTCGGTGTGGTGTGGAAGATGTTGGGGAGAAGCTGCAGGTGCCTTCTTACTAGCTCTTCCTTAAAATTTGTCTCTCCCTCTCCTTGTTAGTCTGTTTTATAACTCACACTCCAGCAGGGGGGAAGTAAAGGAGCTTATCCCGTTCACGGATCCTATAACCGGTGGTGTTTATTACCTTGTAGCTGGTGCAGTGTCCTTTGAGCCTGGCAGTTTGGTTTAGATTCAAGTGTCTATTCTTTACAGTCTTTCTGGGGTTGGTAGCAGAGAAAGAGAAAACAGGTAATTCGATTACTTAAGTTCTTCGTGTGCAAAAGTTAAAGCCCTACCACAAACGTGTGAGTGGGTGTTATATTGTAATAACCTGGACACCACCAAGACAGCTTCCTTGGGGCTTTTGTGTCCTCAGGCCCACCCGAAGGTTCTCCTCTCAATCATGTAGGATGGATTTACTTAATCCCTGGCTTGCTCTGGGCCTCAGTTTTCCTATTCTAGGGCAGAAGAAATCTGGGTCATTAAAAAAAAAAACAAAAAAACAAAAAAACCAAAACCAAAAACAAAAAAACACTCCTGATAGAAGTCGGTTGATGCTTTCGACCTGCAGCCTCCTTGAGGTTAATAGTCCAAGTAATTTCCTCAGGGGCCCTGGCTGGCCTGTTGAGAGTAGACCCATAAAGTGTCTGGATTTGCTGTGATAGGAGCCACCTCGGCTGTCTGTAGAGATGAGCCCTGCCCCTTGTTCCTACTTTGAGCTTGAAAAGTCCCTTATCCAACTGTGGAATGGGAACTATAAAGGAGTTCCTTCTGGGATTACTCAGAAGAGGAGAACCATGCAGTCTTGGCTGACAGACATCTGAGGATGGTCATCCCGCACATTACCAGAGACTCAGCAATGACCAGCCTGCAACCATCCTGCCTTTCCCCAGGGGGCTGGGCTCCAGCCGTGGAGGGCAGACTGGAGACTCCTTTGCCTTTCAATACTGTCTGGCCTGTCTCGGGTCCTGCACATCTTTTCTCTACTGATTTTGTGGCTGTGGTTAACTTGGCTAACCTTTCAGTGAAATAATGTCTAGTGGCATTCCTTTACATTTTCCATGTGCTGTTTTTTCCATAATTCAATTTTCTTCAGGGCTGAGTTTGGGTCTTCGTTTTTCCACCCACAGGCCTAGTTAAGCTTCACTTTGTGCTCCAACTTGCCTGCCCCAGACTTCTTGGATGGACATTGTCAATCTGGTCATATTGAGAGTGAAACTGCCACCTAGTGGTCACTGGAGATGTGCCTGCCTTTTCATGAGTTCTCTTGCTACTCGTTACTGGAAACATCAGTTGATGGTTTTCTTCTAAACTAACTCAGAAGCTGTGAAGTGAATCAGACCAAACAATTTATCTGCTTCAAATCCACATTGTAAAGAGGTTTAATATAAAGAAATATTTTCAAATCAAAATAAATAATGAAGCAACAATCAGATAGACATGTACTCCTTTGCCAAACTGGAACACATTTTTTTTCTTTGACTAAATTGCAATTCAAATGAAGTCCTAGAAAGACAAAACAAATCAACTAACAAACAGCCCAACAAAAACACCTGAACCAAACAGCCTAGCAAAAAGTGGAATAGTCATTTTCATTTATCCAACACAAATGTACTTAGCGCTGGGCTGGTTCTGGTAGGCCAAGTGTTCAGTGGGTACCCGAGCAGCTCATTATGATACAACATGGCAAATTAAAAGCAGGTGAAGGAATGCAGTGGGAGAAAACAAAGAGGACTTGCTAACTCTGCAGAGCAGTGACATTTGAACAGACTTGTCAAGGAAGACTAGATTTAGTCAGGCGGGAGGGATAGAGGGCAGGGAGGGAATTCTACCCCACTAAGGAAGAGTGTGTGCAAGGCCTAGGGGAATGGAAGAGAAGAATGAGTTTAGGTGTCTGAAAGAGGTTGTCTTAATAGGTTTCCTGTTGCTGTAACAGAATACTACAGAATGGGTCATTTATAATGAAGAGAAATTCATTTAGCGTATGGTTTTGGAGGCTGGGAAGTCCAAGAGCATGGTGCTGTCCTCTGGGGAAGGCCATCCTATGGCAGGGAGGCAGAAGGGCAAGAGAGGGAGTGTGAGAAAGAGAGACAGAGACAGAGAGGGAGGAAGGGAGGAAAAGGGGGCCAGGCTCCCAAGATCGCTCACTCACTTCTGTGATGACAGCATGCGTCTATTCACAAAGGCAGAGCCCTCAGGACCTCATCACCTCTTACAGGTCCCATCTCCCAAAACTGTAACAACAGCAATTAAATTTCAACAAGAGTTTTAGTGAGGACATTGGAACAATAGCAGATGTGTAGTATGACTAAAAAAATATCATTAAGTCTAAAGCCTTGTAATGCATTAATTAACCACCTATTTTATATATTTATTGGCTACCTATCTTATTCAAAGTAGATATAACGAAGGTATGAGACATGGAGAAAAATTTAAGATGACATGGAGGTATGTTGAAAAGATGTCAGTTCTTCCCAAATTAGTCTACAGATTCAAAACAAGCCCAATAAAAATCCCAGCAGGTTTTTTCTTTTGCGGAAATTGACAAGCTATTTCTAAAATGTATTTAGAAATGTGGAGCCAAAAATAGCCAAACTATCTTAAAAAAGATCAAAACTGGAAGATTCATATGACTACATACCAAGAACTTTAATAAAACTAAACGAATTAATTGTTGGGAAACTGGCAACAATTAAAACTGAATGTACATACACCCTCGGACCCAGCAATTCCATTCCTATGTACATGTACAACAAAAATGCATATATATATTTAATAGAGATTTATACTAGATTGTTCAACACAGTGGTATTAATAGCTGTAAATGGTGACTATCCAAATGCCCTTCAACCCTGTGGTGTCTTTGTACAACGGGATACTGTATAGCAATGAAAATGAATGATTTACAATTACACACAACACTCTGGATGCATTTCACAAATATAACGTTAAGAAAAAAGATGCCAGACTCAAGAGAACACACATTGTCCAATTCCATTTATATAAAATACAAAAATGGCTCCAAACCAGGTCTTACTCTGTCACCCAGGGTGGAGTACAGTGGCGTAATCACAGCTCACTGCACCCTCAAATTCCCAGGCTAAAGGATCTTCCTACCTCAGCCTTCTGAGTAGCTGGAACTATAGGAGCAGGCCACCACACCCACCTAATATTTTTAAAAAAACTTTCTGTACAGATGGGATCTCCCTATGTTGCCCAGGCTGGTCTCAAACTCCTGCACTCAAGTGATCCTCCTGCCTCAACCTCCCAAAGTGCTGGGATTACAGGCATCAGTCACTGCACCCAGCCTAAAAAATGGTGAAAATTAATTGTAGTAGATTGATTGTATAGCAGCTCTAACTCTTTATCTCTTACAATCCATGCCCTTTGCCATATGACTGCAGCTCCTTTCACCAAAGATGTGGAGTGTATTTCCCCAGCAGGGTCAGGACTACGGTGAGACAATGAAGGCAATTTTCCCAGCCTTAAAATTAAGGAGGCACCAAAATCCTCAGTAATCAAGAAAAATAATATTTAATGCAATGTTTTTGAAAAATCAAAATTAATTCAAGAAAAATCTATTATGGACAAAATGTCAAAACTTCAATAAAGACAGGAGCTGACCCTGCACTTGCATGACTCAATTTACTAGCCTCACTCTACTAGCCTCACTCACTCTACTAGCCTCACTCTAATCCTGGCTCTGTCAAAGTCTGTCTTGAATAAAGAGGATGCCTGCATATTTCTGTTTGTTCTCTTATTCTCTGCTATCACCATGGCCATGCCCTGGCTAGCCTGCTGGAGGCGAGCTGTTCCCAACCCCCTAGATGCAAGAGAAAGCCTGTGGGGGATCTGTCACGGTGGTGGGATAAACTATAGGGAAAGGACGTAAACCTGAAAGGTTGGAAGATCCTGCAGAGCCCAGGGGTAGAATAGCTGAAAGCAGCTGTTCTATAACCCTGAGGCAGAAGGCAAGGAGTAGGTACAAGGGAGTGTAGGGGAATTTGTCTTAAACAGGCTTGTTTACTTATGTTGACCAGCAACTGACCTTTGATCATCCCCGCACCTGTCATTCCCTGGAAGGTGAACAATAAATGTTAATTGCCTACAGATTGTGTTGGCTCCAGGTTTTCGGCATTGTGCCTGCACTGAATAAAAGCAAGCAGCTCCAGCTTCTCCAGGCTGCTGTCTGGCCACGAGAGCCAGGCAGTTACCTAGCTGCTCTTACACTGCATGCCTGTGTCTGAGTACTCATTTCATCCATCGGCCGGGGTATGCAGGTCAGACCCAACAAGAGCCCAGCTAAGATGAACTGACTTGCCTACACAACCACCCCAGGTGAGTGAGTGATAAAATACTGAAGTTTTGTGATTGTTATGCAGCAAGAGCTGAATGATGCACTGAACTATGTAGTTAAGGGTCAGGATAGAGGTTGCTTTTGGGAGATAGAGGCATGAAGTGGGCTTCTGAGATGCTGCTGAGTTCTGTTTCTTAACCTGGGTGCTAATTACACAGTTGTGTTCAGTTTGTGAAAATTTTATGTTTATGACCTGTACACTTTTCCATATTTTTATTTGAAAAAAAAATTTTAAAGGGTGGGTGACGTGGCTCCTACTATTTTTTTCAGGGACAACTTACCGAGATAAGATAAATAAAAGCAACAAGCACCAGAGACTGAAATCAAAATCCAGAATAAATTGAATTTGAACCAATATTCAGAAAATCTTTTAAAATATTTATTTTGGACTCTATCTGCAACTATTTATATGAAACCACTTAGAATTATTTAGGCCATTATTTTTAAATCCTGTTAGGCTTGACACAATCACAGCATAAGAATATTCTCTGAACCAGTATTTCATTTGGTTTGGGATTTTGTTGAATTCATCTTTACATGTGGCTTTACATTGGCATCATTTCAATACAAATGAGACTAATGTAAATTATTATGATGGTTATTTTTCAACCACATGATACTGCTAATGTCAGTAGGCTTGGCTTTTCTTTTCTTCTTTTTTTTTTTTTTAATGGAGTCTCCCTCTGTTGCCCAGGCTGGAGTGCAATGGCACAATCTTGGCTCACTGCAATCTCTGCCTCTTGGGTTCAAGTGATTCTCGTGCCTCAGCCTTCCAAGTAGTTGAGATTACAGGTGCCACCACCATGCCTGGCTAATTTTTGTGTTTTTAGTAGAGAGAGGATTTTACCATGTTGGCCAGGCTGGTTTCGCACTCCTGACCTCAGGTGATCCACCCGCCTTGGCCTCCCAAAGTGCTAGAATTACAGGTGTGAGCCACTATGCCTGGCTGGCTTGGCTTTTCTATGCACAGAGATATAACTATCATTCAGCATCAATCCAGGAGCAAGTTATTATCCATCCAGTCAATCAATGACTATCTGATGCCTGATGGGAAGAAGCTGGCATCTAATCAGAACGGTGATTTTCTTGCTGTGGATGCCTTCTTTTTCCAGCTGTCTGGAATTGACTCTGAAGTGGGTGGGAAGAGCCTGTCATCAATTTGATGTCAGAGAAAGTTCTGTTTTAAGAATTGAGATAAAAGGGGGAAAATACATAGCTAAATTATAGCATTTGTGCTGTCTTCCTCCATCTCCCAAAGGAATAACTTCTAGTTGCTTTTCAGAAAGACATGCAAACATGTACGAGTTCTCTGGGGGAAAAAGACTTCTATCTAGTACCAGATTGGCTCCCTGCCCAGGTGTTTCCTATGCACCTGGGCCTGGCAGTGCCATGCCCCACTTTCCGTGGCAGGTGAGGGCCAGGAATGGTGCCAAGGACTTTAATTACAGGAACTCATCTAATCTTTGTAACCCCTCTATGGGGGAGGCACTGTCATTATCTCCTCTTTACAAACGAGGACCCTGAAACACAGAGATGTTGAATCACCTGTCTAAAGTCGCACAGCTAGAACCTAGCAGAGCTCATATTGAGCCTGGCTGTGTGGCTCGGGGGCTGTGCTCTTATCACCAAAACTTGCTTTCAATTCAAGTTGCCAATTCCAAGGGAGCTGTGAGAAATCTGCTTGTAGAAGAAAAAAAATATTTTTACAAGCAGAGCTACCTCTCCCTAATTTATAGCTGATATAAATCAAATTTTTAGATCCATCAGGCTTGTGGGATAGGGCATTCCTAAGTATGAACTTAGGAGATTATTTTGAAATGAATGACTTAAAATTATCTTTTAATGTAAGTACTTTAAACGTCTGCTTATACTGTCCTGTTTTGACTGCTTCACATAGTAAGTTAGTGGTGTTTTTTACTCACTTAATTTCATAAGTCTATGTCTCAGTTACAGGTAAAGGCCCTTTAGAATCGAATCGGTTTACTTGTTCTCTTTTTTAAGCTGTGGTACCCAGCATGAATGGTAATCAGTAGGTGCTCAGAGTAGGTGCGTATTGATTGATTCACAGGACTGAAGTAAAATGCTTCCAGTTTAGCAGAGATTCTGGAGTAAACGGAATAAAATGAAAATGATGTTTCGTTAAATTGACTGGCAGGACACATGTAAATTACAATGAAAACAATTTTATTGACAGGCAAACAAAAAAATCATGTATTTGGTTATAAAAATTCTCGTAACGAAAATTATTTGTTTTGCTCCCTTCTGTATTCCCTCTACGTAATGGTCCTCCTCCTCCTCTTGTCCTCCCCTAACAGCATGAGTAAAACTCACAGAAAGTTTCAATAGATCACCTATCACATGAGCTGCCTGGACTGTCAGGACATCTAACTTTCACGAGGCCATGGTTTCCATTTTCTTAGAATCGGTTTATTTACTTCTGGGACCGTCACAGAACTGCCGCCAATGCACATCGCTGCCTTTTGTTGCTGTCAGAAGGGGAAGTGGTGAAGATTTCAGGCAGATGGTGGGAAATCTAGAGGCAATTGTACGTCCTGTAATCCTTGATCAGGTGAGAAGTATTTCTGGGGAGACCAACCCTGGCTCACAGTCCTCCCTCAGTCATGGCTGAGGAATCACAGCCAAAAGGATTCTTGAAGGTACTGGCGACAACAGTTTTTTTTCTAGCTTTGGATAATCTGTCATTAGGGACTGTACTTCCTATTAAAGTGCTGGTTTTAATCAAAGTGGCAACACATTCTTACTCCTTAACCAAACGTGTCAGCAGCTTCTTTCAAGAATTCAGCTAACATATATGAGCTTCCATTGTGGACAAAAAATCCAATTCTAGGTGTTTCAGGGCTTGGGAAATTGAGGGTGCAGACTTGTTCCCCGGTGCATGGAGGACACTAGGAGTCAGGATACGCATCACAGTCAGCTTTAACATTGTCATATATGGACTCTGGTGAGGGATGTGAGAGCAAGAAAAAGACAAAGGTTGGGGATGGACTAATTGTGACTAAGGGACTATATAGGGATCCTTCTCCTGGAAATGAGATTGAGTCACCCTGAAGAAAACATGCTTTCAAGTCCCGTCTTAGCTTTGGCATTGTTAATTCACATCCAAATTTGCTGCAAATGCATTTAATTAAGCTTCCAGCCTCCAGTCTTTCTCCACTAGAAACTTGCTAGCCCACTGCCACAATTTATGTTCCCAAGTCATCCAGACGGTTCTTGAGCCTGCAAGGGGCTCCTCCTTTGTGTAATGGTATGCACTCCCTTCCCCATTATCCAAGACAATTTTCTTCCTGGGTTCAGAGTTTAACATTAAAATGATGCTTTCATAGTTCATATAGAAAGGTTTTGGAAAGAAAGTAATCATGGATAATACAGTAATCTCTTTGTATTCTAGAGGGTGGGTTTCAGCATACCCACCCCAAGGTTACAAAAATTTGAGGATGTACAAGTCCCTGATAGAACGTATTTTCACATAAGCTATACAATCCTCCCATATATTTTAAATAATCTCTAGATTACTTATAATACCTAATACAATGTAAATACTGTGCGAACAGTTGTTGACACTATGTTGATTTTTTTGTTTTAATATTGCTATTCCCAATCTTTTTTTCGGAATATTTTTGATTTGCTGATGGCTGAATCCTCAGATGTGAAACCTGTGGATATGGAGGACTGACTATATAAATTGGTCTATTTCTTCATTTGGCAATGATGTACCCAGAAGAGAACATCTTAACTGTAACCAAACTTTTGTAGTAAAAAATGCTGACCTTTGATGACCTGGAACTGACGCCACACTTCTTGTAAGCAGTGCGAGACTGGCAAGGATTTAATTGTTTTCCTCTTTCAATAAGATACAGCTGTGATCTTCCAGCGGCTTCCAATTGTGAGTCCACAGACAGATTGCGATTAGAATCACCTGGGGGAGAATGTTGACCCTGAAGTTTTTTGGTTTCCAGGTGTAGCGATTCTGTGGCAGAACTAGAAGGGCCTGGAAACCTATTTTCAAAAAGCTCCCCCAAGGGATTCTGTGTGAACCAACTTAGGAAACAATTGTTGCTGGTACTATATGATTGACAGGTAAAGATCTGGTCATTAGTGATACTGGATTAAGCTCTGACATGACCTCAGTTTCCAGGCTGTGCCCACTCAAGTGACTCACTGCTCATGTAGGGGAGAAAAAGGATAGATTGATGGGCAGAACCGAGTAGTGATCCCAAAGGCGATTGGGAACACTTGGTGTGTTCTACATGGGAGAATATTTTCTGTGCTTATGACCCATTGTTAAAGTGAGATTTGGGGAACTGGCATAAATCCTTTTTGCATATCCAGTACAACTTCCTGCAACAACAACTTTTTGATTGCCTGCCTGTCCCCATTTGTTACCCAAAATATGTAATATTAAGTGATATTAGAGAAAAACCATCTTGGTTGCCATCTTTCTACATCCCTCTTTTCACTTTTCCATGTTCCCTTTTTGTTTTTTAAAATTGTTTTTCAACTTTTAGCGACAGGGGTCGCACGTGCAGATTTGTTACATGAGTATGTTGCACCCACGTTGTGAGTAGAGTACCCAGTAGGTAGTTTCAGCCCACGTGTCGTCTCTCCCTCCCCTCTCTAGTAATCCAGTGTTCATTGTACTAATGTTTATGTGCATCTTCTTTTTATAGTCTATAACCATAATTTATACTTTTAGTATTCTACTAGAAGTATTTTGCATTTTTACAAAGGATTTTTTTTCAATTTCCCTTTGAAACCTGCATGTTCTTGCTAGCTTTCAGCGTATCTGGGTTTATGCCATGCTGATGAAATCTAATACTTGGTACAAATCAACATCCTAGGGGTTGCTGGGAAGGCCAAATGCACACTTTTATGTTTTAGGTATAGTTGATTGACCATCGATGGGTTTAATGGCCTGAAAGTCACTCTTCAGAAGTGCTCCGCTTTTCTTTGACGCTCAGTGCAATACCCAAGAATGACCAGGAGATGGTGCTGTGGATCAACTTTTCTCCCACATTGAGCAGTGCAGGTGGTTTTCAGATAACCCAAGATGATGAGATAAAGCTTTCCTTCATTTTCCTAGGGAGGCTAATAAACTGCTCAAATTAGCAAACTAAGTAAAATATTTAAAACAAAAAATTTAACTTTAGGGATAAAGGTTGACGAACTGACTTTGAACATTGCTCTAAAGCCATCAGATCTGAACTTGACACAGAGCTTGAGCTTGGAGGAGGTGTAGTTTGTTGAATGTTTACTGGCAACTTTCTGCTCTTAATAAAGAGGTCAGAGAAAGCCCTTGAGGAAGATTGAAGACCAGTTTGAGACTTCCTGCTGCCCTCAGAGCAGCACAGAGAAGTGATTACAATATAAATGGAATTCTAATAAATGCATATATTTTATGCTGTCCTTGGCTTAATCATGAAAATGTTAGGCAAAAGACGCTATCTGCAAAATTAGCATAAGGAGAATATCTGATGCCAGGGGTCACAGGATTTTGCCCAAGTCCTTTGTGATGGCTAAGCAGTTGGCTCCCTTTCCTAGGCCTTTGGAGATAATGCTAACAGACTGTTTGGTTTTCCTCTTGTGTATTTATAACCTCTTGTGTTTGTAGTTAGAATGTGGCCTGCTGGAATGGATTTTCTTTCCTATTTGCATGTAAATAACATGACCATGACCCTGTAAATTTCCCACAAGCAGTTTTAGAAATACGGTGGGTGTTATCCCAGAGGTGGGGGCCCCTGCGTCACTCCTAAGAGTGTCTAAGCCAATTAACTCAGTTGGTATGATTATGGGCCTAAGACATCCAAGGTCACAGTAACCATCTGTGGCAAGATCAGTGAAGTTAGAAAAGAGAGAGCCTGTGTATTCCAGGCACCAAGAGGAATGTGCTGTAACACAGGCAAAGTGTGGTACTGGTAACATGGAAAGTTATTGGTAACGTGGAAAAACATAATTTGTGTGGCTCAGCAGTATCTCTGTTTAACAGAGAAGGCACTCAATGATGTCATCCTCAGCGGTAGAACCATTTATGTTTATAGAGAGCTTCCTAAGAATAAAGTTGTGTGAACTCATGGTTCCTGACTCAGTTTTATTTATGTGACTCTTTACAACTTGTGTCTCTTAAGATTTTTCTCTTTTGTTTTGCTTTTTTCTTTTTCCCACAACAGACAATTATGAAGAAATGGGAAGATACCTTTGCTTATTGATGTAATCAGGGAAAGGTGTAAAATTCAGTGGTGATTCTCCCACTGCAGAGCCTCTACCAGCTGCAAAATTTTAGGAAGACTGGAAAACAGGTTTTTCACCATCACTGCATGCTTTCCATTGGTATTCCCTGTTAGCCGCTGAAATCCAGATGTGTACTTGAGATTTATAGTTGTTTACTTGGAATGCAAAATCTCCCATGAAACAGGAAAAGGATCTTTCATATAAAGAATAAATATTTGTGTTCTAGATGGAGAAACAAATGCCTTTCTGAGCCCAGTTTCTAGGGCTGGCTGGCTGAATGTCTGGTATATAATAATAAATCACATTCATTGACTCAGGGACAGGCTCTGTGCTAAGCATGTTGCAAGTATCACTACTTCTGATTCTCACAAAACCTTGTGAAATAGCTACTGTGATTATCTGCTGTGTGTGTGTGTGTGTGTGTGTGTGTGTTGGCAAAATCTTGCTCTGTTACCCAGGCCGGAGTCCAGTGGCATAATCTCAGCTCACTGTAACCTCCACCTCCTGGGTTCAAGCAATTCTCCTCCCTCAGCCTCTCGAGTAGCTGGGACTACAGGTATATGCCATGACACCTGGCTAATTTTTGTGTTTTCATTAGAGACAGTTTCACCATGTTGGCCAGGCTGGTCTCAAACTCCCAACCTTAGGCAATCCACACTCCTCAGCCTCCCAAAGTGTTGGGATTACAGGTGTGAGCCACTGCGCCTGGCCATTATCTGCATTTTTAAGGATGAGGAAACAGACTCACAAAGATGGAGTAACTTTGCTGAGATTCCCTGGCTGGCAAATGGCAGAGGCATGACTTAAATCCAGTTCCAACAACATGTTCTTAAATAGTGTGCTATTCTATTTGGCCTATAGCTTTTTGGAGACAACCTAATTTCAATCTAATTCTTTTGTGTTTCAAACAAGATTGCACATGTGTGATTCTGTAAGTGGGAAGTCGGTCCAAATTTCTGTGTTCACATGTGCCCCTGAGCTCTTCAATAGGCTGCAGGTACAAGGCAGGCTAAGAATCATGGGGCTAGTGTTGTAGTTTTTTAGTCAGTCATGTGCATGTGTATTTAACATCTCCTGGGAATGTAAGGCTACCTTTCCTTGATTGCTCTCAGCTTAGCACAATGTCAAAAATTCTAGGCAGCAGCAAAGTCTCATTCAATATCCTATTACAGTAGAATACTTCATTCATCTGAGTGGTCAAATGAAAGTTCTATGGTTAATAGGAAGTACCCCCCTTAAAGGGCACTGATGGATCCATCTACTGTTGACCATATTCTCTGGGGTTTCATCCATTCAAAGTATCCTCTTTATTTTCTGTAGCAACACACTATTCTTGCAACGGAAACTTCTTCCATGTTAATTACCAAGAGGATAAATTTTTCTTAATATGATTTGTATATGTAAACTTAAAACATAGATAAGTAAAAATTGGTTTTATTAATGTTTAACTTGGGCAGGCAAATGATTTTTCTTTTTTTTTTTAAACGGGGTCT